GCTAGACTCCACCTTATACTTTTATATTTCTCCAAGTTGACATGAAATTGTGTAACTATCACAAAGCCACACTGACCTGAGTCTGTACGCCCCCTGAGGACCCAGTTCAGCTGCCAAAAGCCACTGAGACATTGAATCCTGGATCTTCAAGGCTCACAATATACCAAAGGGATCTGATGTGGAAGCTCCACTGGGTAAACTAGACTCACTTCAAACATACCTTAAACCTGAAGACTTAAGGTTGAAATTACATGATGTGTGAAGAAGCAGAAGACAACCACATCAAGAGTACTGAACTATCGGTAGACAGACTAACATTGACTTGCTGTATTAAGATGTATATTATCCTGGCAGACCTGTGTCTCACATTGTCAGTGAATATTATTGTTAGAAAACTTATTGTAAGTTTTTCCTGCCAACCAGCTCCCATTGTGTAAATAGCATCTAGTCCTACAAGGATTTATTCTGTACACGTGAATAATCTAGGCATTGCTCTATGTCTTTAACTGACACTTGTTCGATCTTCCTCTCTCACCCGTGTTTTAAAAATTAGTACCTTGGGCTAATCGATGATGCTATAAATGAAGGCCCTTATGTTCCAGGGAGATGAATGATAAGTTCCTCTACCATAAATTAGCAAGGATGTCTGTAAGGTGAACCAGAGACAAATGAAAAAACATAGATTCAGGAGTGGATTTGGGGCTCGTACTTCATCCTAGATCCAATCTAAGAACAATTAGTTCTTAGGACATGGCCCTGCCAGATACTCACCTTCACAAAGGAAACACAGAAGAGATGGGTGCTACAGCAAAGTGTGGTGAAGAAATTAGATGGTGCCTGGCCATCAGTTAGACTAGTGTCTGGGGCCTTAAAGGCTTATTTCCAAACAGGCAACCATCTAAGTGAGAGTCAACTAAGTCTACATGGACACACCAACATCTGTGATCCAAGGATTGTAAATTACATAACCCAAATCCGAAGGAGGGAATAGTATCGGAGCTTAAATGGTGAGATTCTGGAAGGCCATGGATGACCATGGAAGCCCCAAATACATTTCCGGGATCTGCACAGGGAGTCAGCGTTCAGTGATTTCCCTCTAACCATAATTGAGGGATGGGAATAAACTGGTTACCAGACAGAGCATATTGGGGAGGTGACTATAGTCGATTAAAACGATAAACCTGACTTGAACGGTCAAAACCTTGTCACTTGATCTCTCCTCTGATACACCTAGAACTTGATCTGCTTTGTAATATTTTCTATGTTTCTCAAATTGGGGTTAATCTCTGTTGTATCTTGTCATTGTAGGTAGACTTCTTGAACCTTTGTTATGCGTTTTTCTGTTTTTCAGTATATGAAACCCAGGATAGAGGAACCTATAGAGAACTATAGAGAACCTATAGAGAATAAGGGTTGACAGAGGGTGGGGTATAGACGGGGAGGTGGGAGGGGGGCAAGGGGGAGTGGATATCAAGGAGTTCAAGAAGGAAGAACATGTTTGGGAACTGATCGTGATAGCAATTGTACAATTCTGCTTGATGTGATTGAATGGAGTGATGTCTGGATTATCTCCTAACAAAATGGTTTGAAAACAAAACAAAGCCCAGAAGCACTGGCAGCAATGCAAACAACAGTGCGTGCTTCTAGTGTGTGTAGATAAAACCACAAGATTTGAAGTGTCATTAAGAGTTAATGCTTCAAAGCTCAATTTTATTTACTGTCTGTGTTAGTCCAGGTAGACTAGAGAAACAGATCCAGGGAGACTCGTATGTGTATAGGAAAGTGCTTTATATCAAAGAGTAATTGTATATTGAGAAAACATCCCAGCCCAGTCCAGATCACATCCCCAAGTCTGATATTAGCCCATAAGTCTGATACTAGTCCATAAATTCTTCTACAGACTCATGTAGCACATGCAATGATTCCGAAAGCAGGAAGATCACAGGCCAGTGGGTGAAAAGTCTTGTGGAAGCATCTCCTTGCTGGCGTAGCTCTCCATGCTCCACGGCTCTGGCTCCATCAGCATGACTCCTGGTGGCTTGTCAACAGTCTACGAAGCACAGAGAGCGTGTATCCTGCCTCCAGGGAGGAAGACAGTAGTTCCCAGAATCCTCAGGAGAAGGACATGCCCACACAGAGACATCATTGGTTATGACCTGATTGACAGGGTAGACTCCACCCCTTTGCTCAAGTTGACAGGAGATTATGTAACTGCCACACTTTTCTTATACATTCAATCTGCTAGTACATTCTCACAGCTCTTCTCTCAAAGCTAAGTCCTTCCCACCAATGCCACTGACAACCTCCTAGTTCATGCCATCCTCATCTCTCTCCTGGGAATGACCTTTTACTTACAATCCTGGGGACAGTCTCTGTGCCAACATGATTGGGCCAGGTTTCTCTGTGGTTTGGCACTTGTGATGTAGTTTGGCAGTTATGTAATGATGTATTTGTAATCACTTCTATGATGGAAACTGACATAGTGCAATCGTCTCCATGATGAGGTCTGCTATGGCAACCAATCAGTTGAAAGAATTTCTTTGGGGGTGTGACCTGCATCCAATATATATGGATTTTTTTTTTTTTTACTCATTCTGGATTCTGATCCTATATCTGGTTTGTGATCATCTGACTCCAGTTCTTGGGACTTGAGCCAGTAGCTTGCTATATCTCCTGCTTATGTTGAGATTTACTACCCTCCATAGACTATGAACCAACAGCCTCACTGCTGTCTTACCTATTAATCATGGCGTCATTAATTTCTGTAGCTATGTGAGGCAGGAGAAGCCTCACATACCTACAGGGGTCTGATCATGGACTTGGCACTTGTCAGCCTCTACAACCATATGAACCATTTCCTCGATCTAAACCTCTCTCTATATATACATATGTGAGCTTCACTGGTGTTTCTATAGAGAATGCAATAGAAGGCACAGCCTGTTTTCCACATGGGAGGGAAAGGGACTCTTTAAAATGATAAATCGATCATGCTACTCTTCTGTTCGGTGTCTATCATTGGCTATTATCTCTTCAGAGGAAAGGCTGAAGTTCTGACAGTCTTTGGGACCCAACACGACCTGCCCTCCTACTCTCTCGGCCCTCCCTCATGTCTCTGACTCCAGCTCACAAGCTCTTCCTGTAACACACCAAGCAAGTTCCTGTCCCAGGGTCTTCGCGTTTCCTGCGCTCCCTCCGGAAAACATCATTCTGGACACGCTCATCTGAATTACCCACGAGCAGAACAGCGTCAGCTTCTTTCATAACTTTTTCCAGAGAGGCTTCTTCATTTGAGATCTTCCAAAGAGCGCGTTTCCGCCAAATGCTGTAGAGCAGTGGCTCTCAACCTTCCTAATGCCTCGATCCTTTAATACAGTTCTTTGTTTTAGGGTTAGTGACCCCCAACCCTAAAATTATTTTTGTTTTGCTACTTCATAACTGTCATTTTGCTACTGTTATGAATCGGGCGACCCATGTGAAAGGGTAGCTTGGTCCCCAGTAAATATCCTGAGACCATGGCTCAGAGGGCAGAGTGGCTCAGTGGTAGAAGTCTCCCCTTCATGTAGGAAACTCATTGGTCTGATTTCCAAGCAAATCAACTCACGGGGAGCCAGCACCCATGTGCCAGTGGGGACTTGTGCATTGCTCAGATGTAGGCACTCTTGTGTCCACTTTGTGAGTGAGAAAACTGAGGCAGAAGGTCATATAACAGGTCCAAGGCCATTCTGTGTACCAATACCGCATTCAGGACTTGAGCTTAGACTAATTCAGCTCTTCTCAACCAGTGGGTTGATGTTGGGAAGACACACTTGGAAGAAAGGCCTGGTGATTTACCGTGAGGAAACTAGCCGGTCAAAACCCTTTGGGTCACAGTGGGTTGGATTCCATTGCACACGGGCTCCCCGTGGGTTAGGGGTCCGACTCTAGGGCAGCTGACAATTGTGACTCAAGATCAAAGCCAGACTTCAGAGACTTTGTCACTGGGGACTGAGCTGGTGTGTGGAGTCGACCCTCCTGTCCGTCCACTCCAGTACGACGGACCCCCTCCAGGTCCTTCCCCACACTGTATTCGATCCGCAGTGGCTCTCGTATAATATAAACGTGACCAGGCCACCTTCCCCCTTACACGGTGGGCTCCAGCTCCAAACCTGATCAGGCCTATCAAGACCCTGCCTTCCCACTGCCCACGTGGCCCCTCCCTCTCCATGGGTCTGTGTGCCGGCTCTCCGGTCTCTCTCCAACCTCGCTGGCATGGGACTGTATTACTCCCGTTTCTTTGTGAGACCTCATGAGTGAGTGTCAAAAATCCAGCTGTATAGTGGTTCGGTACTCCCCTGTGCCTTTGTTCAGCCCAAAGAGAGGAGAGGTTAGGACCTGGTGTGACTAGCTTTTTAGGCATATTTCTTGTCTTACCCTAGTTGGCCCTCCATCCTCTCGCCTTTGTAATGCTTGGGTCACCTCAGGTGATGGCCCCGATTTTGAGATCCTGTAGCTGTGGTCTGGCTCCTTCAACAGCCAGGAGTTGGCTTATCACGGCTGTTGGTTGAGATCAGCCACTTGCACCCATAGCTCCAGCTCCATCCAGGTACCCAAGGCAGTATCTGCAGAGAGGAGCTGGGGGAGAGGGAGATCCCTTCCCCAGGGGTGGGGGCCAAGTCGCTCAGGACAAAGAACAGCTGTCTTGATTCCTGAGCTGCTCTTTGCCCTCCTTCTCCACCCTGCTGCCCCCACAAGAACCGAGCCACATATCACAATCCTAGAATGTGAGGAATGTGCCCGCGCTGGATAGGCACTGACTGCTTCCACGGAAAGGCAGGGAGGAGCTGGGAGCTCCAGGCAGAGGCCCAGTGTGCAAGGACTCTGGGCGGCCCCTCCCATCCTCCCTCGGCCTCCTGAGGCAGCAGGAAATCAAAGGCCGCATTGTGCTCTCTGCTTGGGTCCTCCTGTGCTGGAGGAGGCGGGAGGAGGGACACCGTTGGGAGGCTGTCCCCTCCCAGCGCCACTCTGGTTGGTGTTCCCAGGGGCCTCAGCCCAAGGGACGATGGTGCACACATGGGTGGCTGCTTCTGCATCTCTAGGGAGCGGAGTTTGTCCTGGGGCCCAGGTGAGTTTGTTGGGGGCCCGGGCTGAAGTCCTTGGTCCAGAGAAGGATCAGGGGCTCCCTGGGTTGGGTGGCTGCTTCTTCACACTGGGAGGGCGGGCTGTGTTTTCTGGTTGGCCTGCTCCCTCCCCAGTTAGGTATTTTCGTCCTGGCTCTGAAGAAAGTGAGTGAGGGAAGCCTAGGAAACATCTCTTGTCGAAAAAAGACTGTCAGCTCACTCTGCTGAGGAGCAAGCGCTGCTCTGGGCCGCCACTCCCTGGGTGTGGCTTCCTTTCTTCCCAGGATTCCCCAGGACAGGAAGAACTGTGGCTTCCTCTCTGGTCTATGGGTGGGCTTGTTTGGACTCAGTGACTTCACCCTCTTTTCAGCAGGGCGCCATTCTCCCGTTCTCCCGCTTCCCATTTGCTACCAGAGTTTGGGAATTTGGGTAAGTCAAGTGGAGGTGGCGGAGAGATAGGGCGTGCTCTAAGAAGTTGCCAAGCCATCTGAGATGACCACAGGGTGGCTGACCACACTGTTTGTCTGGGCCTGGGGGCTTTCCAGGGACACAGGACTTCCAGCGCTCAACCTAGGGCAGTCCCCCACACCTAATTAGAATGGCCCTTCCTGTGGGAGGATAAGTAGTGCTCTAGGTGTTAGGCCTTGGGGAGAGGAGGTGAGACAGAGGAGCCTTACGGCAAGGAAGCATCCTTAAGTCTTGCAGCAGTTATGTCTTTCTGCAGGTTCTCCCTGGTTTCTGAGAAGGGACACCCAGGAGGACCCCTAGCCAAGGGCTTTCAACCCAAGACAGTGACTTCCCCATTGCAGTCTGCTTCCCTGGGCAACAAACTCACTGCCATCGAGTCAATGCTGACGCATAGTGACTCTCTACAGGAGTAGAAAGCCCGGCTTTTCTCCCTCAGAGTTGCTAGTGGTTTTGAACTGTGGACCATAGGGATCACAGGACAATGTGTAACCACTGTGCCACCAGGGCTCCGGGTTCAACAATATAGAAGGCACCCAAACCTCCGCTTCCCTCTAGGCGATTCTCACGCGTGACAAAGTCCACGTGCTGTAGCTCAGAACTGTGCCACGGGGTGTCATGGCTGGGCTTCAAGGCTGAGACCTTTTAGAAGCAGATCACCAGCCCTTTCTTCTGAGGCACCTATGAGTGTGTTTGAACTTCCACTTTTTTTCAGTTACTAGTTGAACACTTCACTGTTTGTACTACCCAAAACTGTGATAGCAAATCCTAAACAAATGTGCCCTACTTCCCTTGCTTAAGCCCCAGCCCAGGCACTGAGAACAAGAAGCAATCCCCAACCAAGCCCACGCCTGGCCCCAAATCTACCAGCAGGCAAACCCCAAACAATGCTCTTAGCACAAGCGTGACCTTCAGCTATGAATCGTTTTCCTTCTCTAGATTACTGGCCTTTATAAATTCTCCCCTTGCAGCCTGCGTCACTGTTCTTTGGGGGCAGATGTAGCAGTGAGGAATGGGAGACACACAAGATCACTGGTCTGGAAGACAGGGCCTGGGCTTGAGGCCTGACTCAGTTTACCTCGGGTAGGCATGGGTCATCATGGTGACCCATCATCTGGCATTAGAAGATGAGGTGTCCGGATTCGATCTTGGCTCTCTGGCTTGCTGTGAGCAATTTTCTTTACTTCTCTGTGTTACACGTTCTGAATCTGTATGTTTTTTTTTTTTAACTAATTATGGCTGTTACCTGTACAAACTTCAATGAGTACAGGCACCAACCTGCCATCTGGCTTTGGGCATCATCCAGAATTGGTTTGAACTGGGTGCTAGAGAAGATAGGTGAAGGAGCTAGTTGATAGACTCTGAGGGATGTTTTTGCTGTCTTGTATATTGATGGATTCCAGGGATCAAAACAGAATGCCAACAGTGATAAGTTATTTTTAGGCTGTTGCAGAACTCTAGAATAATGACATATTTACTCTTGGGCCCACCCCTCTTCTTGTTTAATATCCCCTCTCTCCCCCACCTAATACTGTATAATGTGCCCTAACCTTATACCCCAGTCCTTCCCCTGGCCCCTGAATAATCATTCCTGATCTCATGTAAAAAATGAAAGGAATATGAGTAAAATGCTTCTGATGGAGCTACATGACCTTGTGAATAATGTGGCATTGGGTTTGTGTTAGTCTGGGTTAAATAGAGAAACAAATTTCACAGACACGTATATGTGGATAAGAAAGAGCTTTATATACAAGAGCAATTTAGTATTGAGAAAACATCCCAGCCCAGTCCAGATCAAGTCCATATGTCCGAAATTAGTCCACATGTCCAATACTAATCTATAAATTCCTCTTCAGACTCATGCAACACATGCAATGATGTCGAATGCAGGAAGATCACCGGCCAGGGGGTGGATCCAGTGGTGGTAGATGCATTGCAGCACTGGTGTGGGTCTCTACGTGGCTCCTCCAGCTCCAAGGCTCTAGTGTAGCTCCGTGTGTCTTGTTATCAGACAAGACTACGAAGCAGAGAGTATGTGTGTATCTGGCCTCCAGTGAGCTGTTTATCTCTGTGGTGCCTCCAAATGAGGTCATCAAACTGTGACCTGATTGACAGGCTAGACTCCACCCCTTCTCAACTTGACACCAGATGATGCAACTACCACAGGTTTCTAGGTGCTTTGTGAGACTGTTGGGATTTCCCTTTCCTGGGTTAAATAAAAATTCTAGAACAGTTATAAAAAATATAATAATGATGCCTTCTTTGGGCACGAGTGTTGCTGGGGGATTAAGTCCATGTGGGAGTCCAGGGCCCAGTTCCTACAACAGGTGCTAGTCCCTGGTACTGCTTCTCTCTGACTCTAGCATAGCACGCTTTCTCCTGAACCCCTGCTCGCTCATCTCTGAGATGAGAAGGTCCCACTCTGCCCCATGCGGTGTCTTAGGGAACACTGCTCCTGCTCCAATCCACAGCTCCCTCCAGAGCAGCTCGGCTTCAGAGCTGTAGTTCTAAACATATCGCAGAGAGCATCCTCTGGGTTCTTATGGCGCTATCATGAAATTATCCTATTCCCGCACTTTTATTTTTTGCCATTGGAATCACTTTTTAAAAAGACTCTAACTAGTATTTATTTCTGCTGAGGCTCCTCAAGGGCCCCCTGCTCCCATGCTGTTCTCCATGCTTGCCTGGTTTGTCCTAGAGAGGTCAGTATGGTCGTAGGGGTCCGGGTATCCCCGCTCTAGGTTCCCAATTTGTCCCAGGAGATTGGAGGAAAGTGTGAGACAATCCTGGAGCAACTTAATAGCATGTGCGGCCTTGGCAAGTGACTAACGTTCTATGAGCCTCAGCTCTCCTGTTGTGGAACCTACCCCGTGGGGTGGTTGTGAAAATTAAATGAGATCATTTATCTCCTGGATTTGGCAGAGCCGGGTGTCAGGAATTGTGGACTACTTGTATTATTAGTTAACATTGACCGTCTCCACATCCTTTCTCCTAATTCCTGACTCCAGTTGAGTAGGAGACTGCTAATGTTTCTCTGGGCCCTTCTGCTGTGTTTGTGTGGGTGGGCATGTGCAGTGAGGAGCAAGTTGTGAGTCTGCCGGGCTGAAGGAGGCGGCAAGGGAGAGGCCCCTGCTTGCATTGAACCCTGGGAATCTGTCCAACTGGTGTGTCATGGGGTGACGCAGCTATTGATGTTGGCTCTGTACATACCATTCTCTCCAGGGGCCCTGCAGACAGCACCTGCTCCCCACGATGCTACTCAGGGGCTCACATAACACCCGGGTTTCACATGGCAGAAAGCTGGGCTTTTGGTCAACTGTCATCATCTGTCACTTCTCAGACCTTTTGAGAGTCTTCTCTGTGGTTGGATAACGGCAGGTGCTTGCTTCCACCCTTTGAAGGAGAACTTGGACAGACTTCGCCCTTCAACAGATGAGGGAGGGAAACGCTGGACTGCATCAGTCACTGGTGTTTGTCACTTTCAACGTTTTGGAGCAGTACAAACAGAATAGCAAGAGATCAAGAGGGACTGGAGACAGCAATAATAATACTAGTTCTTTCTGCTTAAGCATCAAAAAATAGGTGAGGCACATCAAGCACAATCTTATACATCATTGAAATAATAGATTTTCCAATTTCTTGGCCTTTTTATGTCAAACATTCAATTTCTCGTTTTAAAAGAAATAAAATATTATCAGTAGATACAACTAAAGTCCCACGGAAATCTCTTCCTCTCCCACGCCAGAGTTAACCACATGCATGAGTTCAGTGTTTTGGTGTCTGCATTACACATTCATAGACCCATAGTCATGGCAAAGAATTGTTCTGCAGATTTTCAAACTTAAGCAAAATGAGGCTACGTTGTCATACTACCAAACCCAAACCAAATTCACTGCCCTGGAGTCACTGATGACTCCTAATGGTTTCAAAGTTGTAACTGCTTATGGGAGTAGAAAGTCCAGTCTTTCTCTCTTAGAGCTACTGGTGGTTTTGAACTGCCAGCCATGTGGATCACAGCCCACTGCATAACCGCTACACCAGGGCCCCACCTCATAAGATTATGCAACTTGCCATTTCCCCCTCTCACCATTATGATTCATGTTGATCCATACACATCCATCTTGACAGGTACAGCCTTCGTTCTAACTGGGTGTCTGTTTCGGAAAGGAGACTCTGGATTTACCCCAGCTTGTCATGCTAGAAGAGAAAAAAGTGTGTGAGTGGGGCAAAAAGTCTAAAGGACAAATGTGTACTTAGGAGACCTGCTGATGTAGAAGGTGACAACACGTTCTGTTGAGTTCTACGTGGTCGGCAGTTAGAAGCCTTCAGCAGCTCCAAGGGAGAAAGACCGGGCTTTCTCCTCCCACAAATAGGTACTGTCTTGGAAACCTGTGAGTCAGCACTGACTCGATGGCAGTGAATTTGGAGGGTTTGGTTGTCAACCTGATTCCATATAGATAGGTCTTAATGCTCATCTTAGTCAACTCGTGCTACCACAAGTGGGTCACGTTAATAAACAAAAACATATTATCTTACAGTT